AAAAAAACAAGATGGCATCCTCTAAAGATGGTAACAACAATCTAGAAACATTTCGTATTTTGTGGCTTAATAGTGCAATCAATAGTTCGGAGAATTTAGCAGCAGGGGAACAATTGCGTAGCTTCATCAATCATTTGAACACATACGATAATAAAGATGAATGTCTACAAATCATCAAACAAGTGCCCAATGAAGATCGTGTTGTTTTAATTGTTAGTGGCAGATTGGGCTACGAAGTGGTACCTCTTATTCATTCTTTGCCACAATTATCATCAGTTTATGTTTACTGCACCGATAGAGAAAAGAATAAACAATGGGCTGATCAGTTCTCAAAAGTATATATGAAGTTCATTTTTTTAAAGAACCATACTGTCTAATGTCATGTTGTTGTAGGTGAAAGCAGTTGTTGTTCGACTCGATGATCTCATTCATCGAATTCAATCAGATCACAAATATCGAAGAATAGAAGAAGAATCCTTATCTACTATTACCATATTCAATTCAAGTGACAATCCTGATCTTACATCAACAGGAATCAATGGACAATTTGTACATTTTCAGCTACTGATCGATGTTCTAGTTCGAATGAAACGGAATGAAAAAGATAAACAAGAATTGATTTCATTATGTTCGACGAAGTACCAAGATAATCAGAGTGAATTATCGACTTTACAGAAATTCAAGAACGACTATTTGCCTTCGGAAGCTTTATGGTGGTATACAAGAGAATCCTTCATTTACAAGATGCTTAACAAAGCTCTACGTGTACAAAATATCCATTTACTATTTCTCTTCCGCTTTCTGATCAAAGATATTTATCAGCAATTATATCAAAATCAGAATAAATCTATTGTTCAAGTATTTCGTTGCCAATTGATGTCAAACAAAGAATTACAGCAACTTGAAAATTCTATTGGAAAAATTATATCAATAAATTCATTTTTCTCTACTACAATGATAGAAAAACAAGCACTTCAATTTGTTACAGTAACGTGTGAGCCACCGAATAATCGATTAGAAAAAGTTTTATTCAAGATTACGGCTGATCCCCGCGTTGGTTCTACGAAACCATTTGCTAATATTCGTAACATGAGCTATTTTCCCAATGAATCAGAAGTGTTATTTATGCTGGGTTCAATATTTCAACTCAATGAAGTTGAACGTAACCATGGCGAAGATGGTAAATTAGCAATTATTCGAATGTCATTGTGCGGCAATACTAATGATGATTTTAATAAACTATATGATTATATGAAGGAACAAAACGGAGCCGAAGAAATCAATCTCTTATCATTGGGTCATGTTCTATGTTCGATGGGACAATTTAATCTGGCAGAACAGTATTGTCATCGATTTCTTAAAGAACTTTCATTAGTGGATTCTTTACGTGTCGATGTCTATTGTGAACTTGGCATAATTGCTAAATCGACAGAACAATATGATAAGAGTCTTGAACTATATCATAAAGCATTAGAGTGTTCAATGCAGAGCCGTCCATCGGATCATGTGGCTATTGCTAATATTCATAATAGCATCGGTGAAGTTCATTGGGCAAAGGACGAGCAAAATCAAGCACTTGAATCGTTTAAACAAGCTGTAGCAATCTTGGAGCAAGCACATCTTGGTATGCATCACGCTATGGCTTTGTTCCAAGACAACATCGGTCGTGCTTATGAATATCAAAAGAAATATTCTGAAGCTGTAGTTTACTATGCAAGATCATTAATGATTCGACAAAAGTGTTTACCATCTGATGATCCGTAGTTGGCTATGTCGTTTACAAATGTTGGTAGCATGCGCCTCTGTCTCAATATGCCAGATCTTGCATCCGCACACTTGAAACGAGCACTGGAAATTCGAAGAAAGAAACTTCCTCCACAACATCCAGACATTGCAGTATCCGAAAAAAACTTGGGTGATTTGTATGAACGTCAGGGAAAAAGTGAACTAGCACGAAAACATTTTATGCAAGCACTCGAAATTCAAAAAAATTCACTTCCGTCTGATCATCCAGATATTGCAAAAACCGAGAAACATCTGGGTGATTTCTATGAGCATCATGGCGAATACCAACTAGCACTGGAATCATTTGAAAAAGCATT